GCCCCCCCCCCCCCCGTGCTGTTTCACCTCAGGGCCCTGGCATCCCCTGTGCCGTCTCAATCCCAGGTTTGCAATACCGGCTCCCGCAGGGTCACGAGCCCTGGGATCTGGCTTTCCAGGGCAGGGCGATGCTGGCTTGCTCCATTTGTCAGCTGGATGCTGTCACTCATTTGCCTCCTTGCATTTCTGCAGGTTGTGTTGTGCTCGCTGCTTGCCGCGGGGCCTGTGGCAGAGCACGCCAACAACAGCAAGGCTCCGGCAGTGCCCTTGAAAGCATGCCGCATAGTAAAAGGCTTGCTGGGCTTTATGAGGTTTCTAAAGCACTTGAGTAGCTGAGAGGCATCCCACACCAACGAGCTGGGGTCTGCTCAATGTCAGCCAAAGCCTTATTTCGCACAGTCTAGTACAAGCCAGCTGGCAAAACGTCTGAGCCGGTATCTGCAGCGGCCCAGGTATGGGCCAAGGAGGCGCTTGTGGAAGGTTTTCAGGGCTGAGAAGTGATACCTTTGGCCTAGTGACAGACCAGGGGTGCAGCTTTCCCTGCCCTCTCCCCTGATGGCGGACAACCAGGCTGTTCGAGGGAGACATGTTGCTGCTCGGGCATGGCCTGCTCACCCTTTCATCTCTCAGACGAGCGAACTGTGGCATGGGTCGGACTTCAAGCACCACCTTTCTGTTAGCATCAGCACCGTGGCTGCATTTGAGCCTGGTGCCAAGGGAAAAGGTGTGAAATCCCTGCCCCTTCCTAGCACCTTGAGCTGCGCGGGGCCTCCACCCACCTGGTTTCAGCGTACTGGGGAATCGCTTGCCGAAAGCAGCTTCCAGTTAGAGACCAAGCCCCAAAGGCAACCCTGAGATCGACACGGTCCTGACCCTTGGGGGACAGGTCCTGGCATCCAGACACGTTCGGTAAAGGGCACTAGGAATGGGAATAGTCTTCTGGTGATGCCTGGCATGCAGCCGCAGATGTCTGTATGCGGCGTTTGCCTTACTTCCAGCCCCTGTGCTCTGTGGGAAGACGTGCTCAAACATCCCAGGGCTGGCATGTCCAGAGCAGCTGCAATCCCCAGGGCAGGCCAGCCTGCACTAGCCTCCTGCTCTCTCACACCCTCGGCAGTTTGTGCTTCCCCAATGAAAGCATGGCCTCAGTGCTTCTCTGCACGGTCAGAAGAGTGTAAGGGGCCCACGTGCAAGAGAGAATTGGGTCCATTGGTGTTTAAAGGTCTGCCTGCTTGGGAATGCTCTAACTGGGCATGTCTACATGTGCATTGATGCTGGCTTCAATTTACTGCACAGTAAGCGGGAACGTGCAGGTGTTAACGTGCATTAACGTTGTGGGTGAGCTGATTTGGGAGTAAAATGAATCCCAAGTCAGTCCCCACACACACAGCGTTAATGCGCAATAATGCATCTACACGTACATTGCTGCGCAGTAAATAATCGGGTGTAAATTTGATACCTGCCTGATGCAAGTCAGCGCAAGTCGCCATCTCTACTGCACAAGCTGGGTCTGCACATGTAGATGCGCGCCCATGCTGAGCAGTAAAGGCGCACGTGTAGACGCACCCACTGTGTCCCCTGCAGTGAAGAAGCTTTTGGACTGCTGAACCAGAGGGAAAATGCACAGTGGGTCCAGAAGAAAGGTTGTTCCTACAAGCTTGTGGAGTTGGTGAAGAGGCCCTGTCCACGAGGGCCAGAGCCCCAGCTGCCCCTGGGTTCACCCTGCTGTTGCTCTGCTGATTGAAAGCCCGATCCCCAGAGCTTGCTCCCTGGGCAGCGATTCTAGCATCTAGCGCTGTGCTGGCAGTGGAGGTGCCCGAGCAGAGCCAGGAGCCGGCACAGCACGGAGCACTCTGCAAGCACCCGTCTAGTGCTGCAATGGCAAAACGGACAAGGGATATACCT